GTGTGCTCTTTTCCACCATGCTTCCCGCTTAAAAATCGATCGTGAGAAATGTCGATTACGTTCGAGAATCGTAGAAAGTGTGTTACATATTTCACCGTGTAGTGGCGCTGTAATCTTTGACTAATTTAAACCTAATACGCGCGTGTTTCGAACGAAGCTAATTCGAGATAAAAAGTAACAATACTTATGGAAATATTTTTTTACTTGTTTATATGCAAACGTTTATTTGACTCCAATATTCTATATAAAATAAAAGAAAAATAAATTGCAATCAATTTTTTTTAATAGATTTAAACAGAAGAAAATAATCAAAGATGTAATAAATTTTTCGTCCCAAATTCCATCAATTCCTGTTGTGAATCGTTATATTTTTTTTATATTCTTATTTTATATTTCAAATTCTTATTACATTTACATTCCTTTACTGATGAAGTATCATTATTTTCAATCCAATAGATTATTCTCTAGTGAGTGTGACTCGTTCCTCAGTCATACTAAGCCAACGTATACACCTAAGTAGAATTCGATTTAAATAATTATGCGTATTAATTTGTAGCATGTAAAAATGGAACATTTGAAGGAAACTAAACAAGTTCTATCAATTTAAGTCGATGAACATGTTTGTAAAATGTTATATATTTTGTTTAAATTAAATTACTTTGTGCAAATATTTAAATAGAAAATATATCGCTTAAATAGTCAATACATTATACAATATACAAAGAATATTATTATAGATGAAAGAACGACTACACCGGATATTTGAGTTATATTATGTATCCAATAAAACCTGAAATAAGCAAAAATATCATTACTCAAATATACAAAAATATTAATATTATAATTATATTGTTTTTTTTATACCACGATATTTCTATACATACAGTGATAACCGTCGCGCTGCATTTATAGGATCAGATTTTTCCTTCAGAATGAATTTTGAAGCTCCTATCTGGTAATTTGTAATATACTTCTTCCAATCCATATCTCGTAAATCCAATTTCAAGTTATTGCTGTCCTTCAACACCTTTATGTCCTCCACCATTTTACAAACATTATCTCTATGAAAAGTCCATTCGCGCATTCTGAAGTATGTTGTCATTGTCAACAGCTGATTGAAACGCTTGTTAATTTTCATCATTCTGAAATGCCATTAATATTGTTGTCCTAACGTGTGATTGTGTTCGACAAACAATAGGATACTTACATTGGCTTCTTACCCCGAAATTTTAAAACAATATCCATAACAAATGCGGGGAAAACATTCAAGAATATATTCAAAATATCGTAAAGAAATTTGCTTTCTACTACTTTGAAATACGGATACCATAGTATATCGTTCATCGGCGTTTCTACGCTAACATCCTTGTAAATATTTGACAGATATTTCCAGCTTGGAAAATAAAACATTTATGCTTGTACAATTAATTGAATTGAGTTTAAGATAGAGAATATTTTTATTGCAGTATCCCATAATTAATTTGCATTATTTTTCTATTTTTGTAATTTGAAAAATAATGTGAATATAAACACGAAGTATTTAGCAGACTTCGGGAAAGAGAAGATATTTTCTACAGTTAATAAAGTGATCTTGAAATAAATTAAGTGTATAAGCCCATATTCAGATAAAATTTTGTATGGTTTTTGAGCTCAGTGCCTAAATTCTTCATCTATACGTCTTCATCCTTACAATGATGTGCTATTGATTTATCAGCTCCAAATCTAAATTCTAAATATTTGCGACACTCCTAAAGTTAACGAATAAATATTACCTAAGAGGACTTGCGTTACTCGTACAGTTATACACTTTAACTTCTGCATCTCGATGTATGGTAACATGCCACGCGGCACACAGTATCGTGTCGACGACGTAATCTACAGGTACTAAATCTAATCTGGCGTCCATCTTAGCTGGTAACACCCTTATATTACCTTTACCGACTTGCAGACATACAGCTGTAACGTTAAATTGCTTTAGAATTTGATTATACTGAATTGTCGAAATATTTTGGAAATATATCATCGAAAATATGTTATTGACGAGAAGATATAAAAGAAACAATCGTAATTGTTCCATTAGTTCTCCTGTACCAGCAAAGAAATGGAAGTACTAATTGCAAGAAATTGGTAATTCGAACTTCCATTATATCACATCTGTTGAGCGAATTTATATATTGCATTTGAAGGCTGTCTAACGTTCTAGTAATTAAAGCACTGCTATAATTTATACATAGAAACGAACAAAATGTAATTGTTTAAACAAAAGTTTGTTTGATTAACTTCTTTCTTAAGAAATTTAGAAAAATCCAGCAACATTAATAGTTGATATTGCTTGAAATACAGTTAAAGAAACGAAGAGGTTTGAACGATTATTACGTTAAAGTAGATACAAATGTAGATAAAATAAAATTTATTAATTTATATTAAAGTTAATAATTTTATAATTTTTTGTGGAAATACCTGTAATTCCATAGACATTATCTACCCAACCAGGACACGGCTGTTCCAAAGAAGCACCAATTATACTGGGTCGTACTATTGCAGTTGGAAAACTTTTACTATCACTGAACACAATCTGCTCCGCTAGATTCTTCGCGAATGTATACGTGTTTGCATGAGTTTTCAAAATTGATTCTTCTAATAGTGCGATTGAGGTTTTATCTTGTTTATCGCAAATGTTGATTATCTCAGAAGGTTCCCAAATCGTGCTATGAAATTATTGATAAGAAGGATACTTACTTGTCGCACAATATTCCGTAATAATTGTAAATTACATATTTTTATGCAACAATGAAGTATTTGAATAGAAGCTTTTATACAATTTAATCTTACGTGTAAACTTTTTCTTCGATGTCTGATAAATTAGCATTACTATAAGCTGTGCTAACATAGATGAAGCTGATTATCTGGTTTAGTTCCTTGCACAGGTCAATGACACGAATGGTACCTTTCGTATTTGTATTAACAGCATTATCCAACGGTTGTTTAAAAGTTACAGTGGCCGCGATGTGAAACACTATGTTCACTTTTTCTATCAACATGATTCTATCTTCTGAAGAAAGACCTAAGTTTGACAGACTCACGTCACCCTCTACAGGCTGACATTTATTAAGAATTGAAGAACCATGCTTTGCTTTCACGAATTCGAAAACCTGAAAAAGGAAGAAATTTTAGAAACTCTACTATATGTTCAATATTCAGACAATTTCCTTATTTTCTGAAGTTCATCATTGTTTATTGCATTAATTTGTCTAATCTACTATATAAATTTATTGAATTTATTCAATAAATTTCATCTTTAATTACGTTTGATTACTTTTTTTTTTCTAATTCAGTGTTCATTTTTCTCTGATGCACTTCCTAATCAAATCTTACTTTCATTTTGAGATATCCTGTATTTACTTTTTGGTTAAAAAGAACTATTATTTTAACATTTCCAAAAAAATTTTTAACAAAATGTAACTTTGACGTTAAAAGTTTAATTAAAAAGAAACGAAACTTTAAGATCTGGCTTATAAAGAATATATATCGTTTCGAGTTCCTTATCGAAATATGTAATTGGAGGAAAGATTCAAAACATAAAATTTCTGTTAGTTTTCGAGATATTAAAAAAAAATTTCAATACATTATATTGAACTCTGTGTAGAATCAGACATCACCAATGCAACGGTCAAGGCTCTAGTAGTCATCCTCGGTCGACAACAGTTTCAATAACCTTTGGATGAGATGCTGTAAGATGCTGTACATAAATTAGCTTGTATACACAGTGTATATGGCTTAAAGGTCTGGAAAGTACTCAGCAAGAATCCGAATTTCTGGAATTCTTAGCGAGACATGCGAAAAAATTAAAAAAAAAGACAATGTCCTAATATGAAGTTTAACCGTTCTGATTGTAAATGGAACACACCAAGCAACGAGGGCAATGTCACTCGTTTAGTTGCATTATCCCATGGGCAACAACTACGTACGAATGCAGTTGACAATGTAATGTTTATATAGACTGAATTCAATATATTATGTACTGTAAGTATAGCTCGGAAACAAATAATAACCTGAAACTTGTATTTGAAATCCTCCCGCTTTTCTTTCTAGTCACTGAAAATTTCATGGGACCTACGACCTACAACAGTGTAATAAATAACTGTTCAGAAGCTAAATTGATCATAATGTGCATTCATAATATTGTACATATGAACGCTGCCAATCAAATTTATTAGAAAATTTGTTATTGATCTCTCCAATACAGGTGTCGTCAACAACGTAATTAATATTTCAGTTGAGTGCAAGTGACTAAAAACACGTGTTCTGTAATGGAGAATATATAGATATGTGTGTGTGTGTGTGTGTGTGTGTGTGTGTGTGTGTGTGTGTGTGTGTGTGTGTGTGTGTGTGTGTGTGTGTGTGTGTGTATGAATGATATGTTTTTCATATATGAAAGATATCTATGAAAAAAAGAGAGTTTCAAGTCACATTCAATAGTTACATGCAGTATTAATTCACTTGACGGTTGTCGACGATGAAAGTGGTAAATCAGTTTGACACATTTAATCAATCTACAAAAAAAAGTATTTCGTTCATTCGTAAATTTATATAATAGTGAAGTTGATCAATTTAGCATTTGACAGAGTAAAATTTAAAATAGCGAGAGTTTTATTTACGAACGGGATCATCTACAAGCTTTTTGAATCGCTCTTCTATCGTCTGGTTTCTTTTCGGACGCAAAAGTATGAAAATGGCAGCTATGCGTGGACAAACACGCATCAATTTTTCCAAAAGACCTTTCCCCACGAAACCGGTAGCCCCGGTCAGTAGAATCACAGTGTCGGCGTAAAATTCCTCGATGGAATTCGTTTGATTCAATTCTTCCTTAATTTCAACCATAGTGCAGGTTTTCCCTTTTTCAAATTTCATCTGTAGTGAAATAACAAAAAGTAAGTAGAAAACTTGAAGAATGCAAATCTTAGTGCCTTACATTATTGTACGCAAAATGTTCTGATTTTTTCCCGACCAAACGTTATGAATATGTTCTATACATGTTGAAACAGTAAGAATGGGAAACAAAATGTTAGTTTGAGTTGAATCTCTTTTCAATTTTAAGACGTACTCTAAGTTTATTTAAACAAAAAGGAATGGATGCGAATGACGTGTTCTCCTAGGATTCTTATCGTGATTGTTGTATCCTGAGTAAAACTCTGCAATCTAAAGTTAATTGTTTGCTACGAGTCTGTTTGAAACGAGTCTGCTTAAAAAAATAATATGATTCACAAGGAATGCATACACATCATACAAGTGTGTATGACAATAAATTAATAAATAATAAAATAAAATTAATAATAATAAAAAAGTAGAATGATATAGTGAATTTTGTTGGAGTTGTGAATCCTTGGAAGTAAATGCATTCCTGTGCAATACAAAAGGTGAAGCCTATATTAGCACTGCGCTCGGTTGAATAGATCGAGAGCGTTCAATCACGAATAATGAATAAACTATTGAAAGAAACAATGCTTGACAGTTTGCATTTCTAATATTCTCACATATACATATATTCTAATATTCTCACATATACATATTTAATAACGGAAAAATAAACAAATTTACATGGCACGCAAATCAAATTCTCTTTACTTCAGGGTTTCAAATGTCAAAAACACAGAATTAGGAAGAGATATTAATGAATAAGGTACTAATGATGTAAGTTAATTTAATCCCTTTGTATGGATGAAATATCTCACTACACTTCATTTTATCATACTTTGAAATATTTCATGTGCTACAAGAATAAACTCATTTATTTCTGACGGCAAAACGTTTTCTCCATCGTTAATTTCCTTCATATCGACAAAAATGACATGTGATGTACGATTTCACATTTATTCAAATTGTTTATTCAAAGATATCCGAGACAACCCGATTTTTTATAAAAAAAGTACAGAATATTCTGTCATCTTCAATTCTGTAAATGTGAAAGAAATACAAAGCTTCCATGGTTCAACTATCACTGAACATTGAATCACTTTTTGAAGATATTAATCACCTGCTATTAAATTACATAGCTTGCTTATATCAAATTTTAATTTACAACTACTTTTCACCTGCAATTATTAAGATATACGTGCAAATAAGTAGTCATGGAATGCAATTAATAATACACATAACTTGTAATTACAACTTACGAGACAACAACCGAACGTGCAATGCGAAGGAAATTCTTTTAGCTGTTATTCCACACGAAAGTGAAAAGAAGAATGTAATAGAAGGTGTAATATATTACATACGCTGTCACATAATGCTCCTGTGAAACGTGTGAAGCATTTATACCGCTCCACTACCATTACTACCGTCATCCCCACCAGGATAACATCATTTGTGCCAGTCAGAGTTGGGCATTATAATATTTCGAATAAAATTTCGAATAATTTAGTCGAATAAAATTTTATTTGAATAACATTTCGAATAAATTATTCGATATTTACGAATAGCGATTTTATTCGAACATACAGTTGGGCATTAATTCGAATGAAATGTTATTCGAAAAATTGATTCGAAATGTAATTCGAATAAAATATTATTCGAATAGTGCCCAACTGTGTGTTCGTTCGAATAAGCTTTGTTTGAGTAAAATCGTTATTCGTAAGTAACGAATCATTTTTCCTCGAATAAATCGTTATTCGTTATTCGTTCGAATAAAATTCATGATAATGTCATTAGTTGTTGAATACTGGACCGTATTATTCGTAGTATTCGCGTATGTTCTCACTTACCACACAATATGCTCAATCGGAGGATCAGCCAGTCAAAGATCCTGTATTTTCACGAGTTGTTCAGATTTTTCGGAATGATCATATCCTTCAGACGTAAAATGACTGAGCTGAAACTACTTTGGCATACGCTTTCCAAATTGCCTCCCTGAAACCCAGAGTTAACGATATGTTTCGGAAGTATGTCACGTTGAGTGCAAAATAAACTGAAGCTCTGAATAACATGCTTTAATATTTTTAAAATTTCATCTGAGAAATAGCGTTTTCGGTGGTACGACTTCGTCTTCAAAGTTACAAGTTTCGACGACGAAGACTATGTAATGTATACATATGTATAGGTATTCACTTGTGTATTCAGAATCGAACGTGCCACTCGTCGTGGATCTTGAAAGTCAAAAGAAAAATGAAGATTTTCGATTTTAAGAAATCTAATTTTAGAAAAAAATTCTAGTTTTACGATTCACTATAAACAAAATTGAATAAAAAATCTAACATAAATGGTACGTGTAGAGAAAGACCAAATAATATTTTTATACAACATTGGAGAAAATTTGTGCATATACATGTGCACACGAAAACTTCGAAAATTTTGAATAATCACATCGTGGAAAGTAGAAAGAATAGTTTCTACGTACATACATACATACTAATCTTTCCAAAGTGGCAGTATCATTTATTTACCGCCATAAAAAGTCTCTAAAGTATGATTACTCATGTATTATTATATATATTTTATATTAGGAAAAATAACGTCATTATGAATTAGTATTGTACAAATCTTGCATTATATTGTAGTAACATATTTTTTATATTATTCGTACGTATTTCTTCTACATATTATTTGCATACATACTTATTGCATATGTGAATTTCATCTACATAAACACCAGCGGTTTAATTATTTATATGTAGATATCTTCCTGACGTAAGAAGTTTTTAACTTATAAATAATTATAAGTCATTCAATGGACGATAGAAGAAAAGCGATAGGAACGGTAAATTGAACTTCCTATGTTGTGTTATAATAACAATAACGATAGCGTAATTCGATTGAAACAGTTAATGCAAAACTATTCGATCTTGGCTGCTCAAAAATTGATTGAAGTTTGTTGTTTCGTGCCTTTGAGTTTAATTTATTGTTAATATATATAGAGAATGAACATTGATTTATCAAGAATTTGATTCAACGTGTTGTGGCCAGTCTATTGCATTTCTAAAGCAATAGTTGGACTGACGTAACACGATGGATTTCTTCGGAATGGTGAGATGTGGAACGACTGAGCATATGGTACTGAAACTGCCTTTCGGAATTTGTAATATGTTTCTGGCTTAACTGCAAAATAAACTGAAAGAGAAAGTTATTTGTAAAATAAGAATAGCATGAGTTACTATTTTCAAAATTTTTAAAATTTTAATTCTTTCTCAAAATAGCCTCCCCGTTACGATCGAGTTATACGCATCACCGAAATAAATCACCGTGTGTTTTTCCAGATGTATTTCGAACTGTGCCACGCTGATGTTGCGGATTTCATAAATACATACATACAAAGAATCAGTAGTATGACGTATGTATACATATACTACCCGTAAATCGGCGCAAGCTGTTTGATTAATGTTTAGTGGTTAAAGCAATTATTATGTAATCTATCAATGTTTATCGGAAAATTTCAACACTCTCAATCAATTATTTCTCCAAGTTCTTTTAAGTTTGTGCTTGAAACAATTTTAAATAATGAATTAGAACAATATACTCTAATACGAACGTAAGCGGTGGATTGTCGAGAACAGTTTCTCCGAGAAAAACTTTCGTCTCTAAAAATATTCATTACACTAAACGCGCCATTCGCCTTGATCGACGATGGCAGAAACGAAAAATGGATAGATGTATTTGATTCGAAATTATAAATATGAAGCAATGAAGTATGGTACGTATGTATGTAAGTGTATCGTTTTGCATCAGTGAGCTTGGATATTTATTGTACAAATACGTGTATATTGGTAAATGTAATGTGCGTGTAAAAGTACATCATACGAAACTTAACTAATATATGTACATATATGGATGTAAAGTGTGATTAGCATTCGCAGTGCCATCTTCAAATTAATATTATTAAATTCTAAACTAAAATTAAGGATCCGGAACTCTCACCGATAGCAGATCGATATGAAATTTCGACAGATTGGGAGAGAAGGAAGGGGAAACCCAAATATAAAATTTTCAGGTATTGATTGAATTCCTTGAAAAATTAATAAAAAACTTTCGATACAATACGTTGAATTCTGAAGAGAACAGACATTACTAATACGACAGTTCTCGTATCATTATCGTAGGTAAATTCGGTAATATCGAAAATGTACAATCGGTTGCGACGTTAATTTTTCTCAGACATGGCAAAAAACATTTCGTTGCGCTTCTTCCCATTGCCACTGTACACTCTTCTTCGCCAAACTTGTTAAGCGTTCTCAATAAACTTTCGAAAATAACCCGCAAATCCTAGAAATTCTCTTTATCGTTTTTGGTCGTGGTATTTCCCTAAAGGAATCTATTTTCCGTTGCCGTGGCATTAATCCTTGCTTTCTTATTTTAGACACTCGATATTTGCATTGAAAAAAGAGAATTTCAGTGATAAGCCATGTGTCCTAAAAACTTTTAAAACTCGTAACCTCTCGATATTCCTTCCTCAACCATTTCCGGGGGTATAATTACGTCATCTAAACAGAGAAATGTTATTGCATTAACTTAATTAAACATCTGACACGTTTGTCGTGCCAAAAGATATTCGATGAAACTTGTAGTATTCCTTCGGTGTTGGAAATGCCATCTCTGCAAAAGAATTCTGATGCCAAATCAAGACCCGTGAAGTATCGATTGTCTTATCCTCTCGCTTATCTATTCAATTGTCGATGAACAGTAATGAATATTTACTTTTCACGAATATTTGCAGTATACTTGAATGTTCGCGAACAACCTTAGGTGGACTGTAGCGACTTTCACTTTGGATTTTGAGAATTGCTTGTGAGTTACTAAACGAAAGTATATCTTGAATTGCTCTTTTATACAATACTGATATTTATACTCTAGATTCTGGAAAACTACCTTATGCTAATGGTAATATGATTGCACATGTTGATCCTTCCGCTTATATTGATGTTTGCGTAATTCTTCCAAATTTCGTTCTTCTTTATACATTTTATACAAATTATAAAACTTTTAAACGATATGGTCGGTAATTGATCGACGCTGAACATTAATTTTTGCAACAATGTACAAAATAATGTGTTTTCCTTTGTGTTCTCTAAATAAGAAGTTTCACTGATCTTGGCCGAAAGAAAGTGTACATGATTCCAAATTACAGAATATTCGAAATGTTATATATAACGAGTTACATACATGCAATATGTTGATGTGTTCTAGAATGCTTCAATATGTGTACAAATGTATATATGTACGTTGTATCTGTATCAATATGTACATATGTACATCTCTCGAGCTTAATTATTAAATAATGTAATTAATGTATGCGTATTTCTATAATTGTGATTCATATTTAACATGATTAACATGATGTTTCTTGATTAAATTAATATATTAATATTATTAACATTAAAAACCATAAAACATTAAACTAAAATTGATACTGTCAATTTTAAATTAACATGCTTAACATTACTATTAAATTGATTCGAGACATTATTAATACTAAATTAAATAACGTATATGTATCGTTTAATTTAGTTTCTTTGATCGGTAATGAAGCAGATTCTCTTATAAATGTTACTGATAACTATTCGATTGATAATGAATTCGTTACGAATTCATATATCAGCTGTCTTTAGGTTTAGGTTAGGTTTAGGTTAGGTGTAGTACAAATCAAAGAAAAATATATGTACTTTATACGGACTTTACGTCAAGAAGCAACCGTGTGAAAAATCTATCTTGTTCCAGTGAAATTGTAAACTATAAACTTCTCCTCCCGTTCCTTAATCTGTTAAAATATAATTTGCACCACGCAAACGTGCACCTTTGTACAAAGTCCGTAAATATACTCAACATTGGTCGCTTATGTGAGATATATGTACATACATATAAGGATATATTCAGTTGATATGTTTATATTTTTCATTAAATCTTCATGAAATATAGACATTTATATTAAATAAATAGGAGTAAAGTTTGGTTGTTATCATAATATTGATTCTGATAAAGTCGTTTATAGAAAAATTTCTAATGATATTTTAATAATTTTTAATGAGCGTAAAATAATATTTTAATAAGCGTAAATTTTCAACTAATGAATCCATGTTATTTGTCATCTGCACCGCATAGTTATAGTAAAATTGTTAAAAATTAAATTTGAATATCTAATATATGTAAATGAGGAAATATGACGATTTTAATACTTTAATATTAATGATAATGTAAAATAGTTGAAAATTTAGTCAGATAAAAATTATATTTAAGAATGTTTAATAAACTATAAATCATTTATACATAAAATCATATATTCATAATTTTAAAATTTTAATTTTAATTTA